GGCTATATTTTAGATTTAATTCATTATCTTTATTATAAAAGTGATACATGCTTGTTGCAAAAAAAAGAAAGAAAAAAGAAAAGAAAAAAGAAGCCGGAAAACGCATCAGCACAAAATAGCAATCCCTGTTGTCCTCCACCTGAATCCTGCCACTGCGTGCTCTGTGGTGCATTATCCGCCCAGGTTTTGTTTCTGATGCATGTGTGCATGGGTGGGTGGAAGATGGATAGATGGATGGATGGATGGGTGGATGGGTGGAAGATGGATGGATGGGTGGGTGGGTGGATGGGTGGATGGGTGGATGGGTGGGTGGAAGATGGATGGATGGATGGATGGGTGGATGGGTAGAAGATGGATGGGTGGGTGGGTGGATGGATGGGTGGAAGATGGATGGATGGATGGGTGGAAGATGGATGGATGGATGGGTGGAAGATGGATGGATGGGTGGGTGGAAGATGGATGGATGGGTGGGTGGAAGATGGATGGGTGGGTGGATGGAAGATGGATGGATGGAAGGAAGATGGATGGATGGATGGATGGAAGATGGATGGGTGGGTGGATGGAAAATGGATGGATGGATGAATGGGTGGAAGATGGATGGATGGGTAGAAGATGGGGGGATGGATGGATGGATGGGAGGTGGATGGATGGGTGGGTGGAAGATGGATGGGTGGGTAGATGGAAAATGGATGGATGGATGGGTAGAAGATGGATGGATGGATGGATGGATGGGTGGAAGATGGGTGGATGGATGGATGGGTGAAAGATGGATGGATGGATGGGTGGATGGGTGGAAGATGGATGGAAGATGGATGGATGGATGGGTGGATGGGTGGAAGATGGATGGATGGGTGGATGGATGGATGGGTGGAAGATGGATGGATGGATGGGTGGATGGGTGGAAGATGGATGGATGAGTGGATGGAAGATTGCCGGGGTCCAACCCCAGCAGGTCCAGGGGTCCCCAAAGGTGTGGATGGAGTCGGCGAAGAAGGAAGGACACGGAGACAGTGTTCAGTTGATCAGCAGCCTAGCCAGGATCTCCAGCCAGGATCTCCAGAGAAGATGGATGGATGGATGGGTGGGTGGATGGAAGATGGATGGGTGGAAGATGGATGGATGGAAGGAAGATGGATGGATGGAAGGAAGATGGATGGATGGACGGAAGATGGATGGATGGATGGATGGAAGATGGATGCATGGATGAAAGATGGATGGATGGGTGGAAGATGGATGGTTGGATGGGTGGAAGATGGGTGGATGGATGGATGGGTGGAAGATGGATGGATGGATGGGTGGAAGATGGATGGATGGATGGGTGGAAGATGGATGGATGGATGGATGGATGGATGGATGGATGGGTGGATGGGTGGAAGATGGATGGATGGATGGATGGATGGGTGGATGGAAGATGGATGGGTGGATGGATGGAAGATGGATGGATGGATGGATGGAAGATGGATGGATGGGTGGAAGATGGATGGATGGATGGAAGATGGATGGATGGATGGGTGGAAGATGGATGGATGGATGGGTGGATGGATGGATGGGTGGGTGGAAGATGGATGGATGGGTGGATGGATGGGTGGGTGGGTAGATGGGTGGAAGATGGATGGATGGGTGGGTGGATGGATGGATGGATGGGTGGATGGGTGGGTGGAAGATGGATGGATGGATGGATGGATGGATGGATGGGTGGATGGGTGGATGGGTGGAAGATGGATGGATGGGTGGGTGGGAGATGGATGGATGGATGGGTGGAAGATGGATGGATGGGTGGGTGGAAGATGGATGGATGGATGGGTGGGAGATGGATGGATGGATGGGTGGAAGATGGGTGGATGGATGGATGGGTGGAAGATGGATGGATGGATGGATGGATGGATGGGTGGAAGATGGATGGGTGGATGGGTGGATGGGTGGAAGATGGATGGATGAGTGGATGGAAGATGGATGGATGGATGGGTGGGTGGATGGAAGATGGATGGGTGGAAGATGGATGGATGGAAGGAAGATGGATGGATGGAAGGAAGATGGATGGATGGACGGAAGATGGATGGATGGATGGAAGATGGATGCATGGATGAAAGATGGATGGATGGGTGGAAGATGGATGGATGGATGGGTGGAAGATGGGTGGATGGATGGATGGGTGGAAGATGGATGGATGGATGGGTGGAAGATGGATGGATGGGTGGATGGGTGGAAGATGGATGGATGGATGGATGGATGGGTGGATGGAAGATGGATGGGTGGATGGGTGGAAGATGGATGGATGGATGGAAGATGGATGGATGGATGGGTGGAAGATAGATGGATGGATGGGTGGATGGATGGGTGGGTGGAAGATGGATGGATGGATGGATGGATGGAAGATGGATGGATGGGTGGAAGATTGATGGATGGATGGAAGATGGATGGATGGATGGGTGGAAGATGGATGGATGGATGGGTGGATGGATGGATGGATGGTTGGGTGGATGGGTGGGTGGAAGATGGATGGATGGGTGGATGGATGGGTGGGTGGGTGGAAGATGGATGGATGGGTGGGTGGAAGATGGATGGATGGATGGGTGGAAGATGGATGGATGGGTGGGTGGAAGATGGATGGGTGGGTGGATGGAAAATGGATGGATGGATGAATGGGTGGGAGATGGATGGATGGGTAGAAGATGGGGGGATGGATGGATGGGTGGAAGATGGATGGATGGATGGGTGGGTGGAAGATGGATGGGTGGGTGGATGGAAAATGGATGGATGGATGGATGGAAGATGGATGGATGGGTGGAAGATGGATGGATGGGTGGATGGATGGATGGATGGGTGGGTGGATGGGTGGGTGGACGATGGATGGATGGGTGGGTGGGTGGATGGGTGGAAGATGGATGGATGGATGGATGGGTGGATGGGTGGGTGGAAGATGGATGGATGGATGGATGGGTGGATGGGTGGGTGGAAGATGGATGGATGGATGGATGGTGGATGGGTGGGTGGAAGATGGATGGATGGATGGATGGGTGGGTGGAAGATGGATGGATGGATGGATGGGTGGATGGGTGGAAGATGGATGGATGGGTGGATGGGTGGGTGGAAGATGGGTGGATGGGTGGATGGGTGGATGGGTGGAAGATGGATGGATGGGTGGATGGGTGGGTGGAAGATGGGTGGATGGGTGGATGGATGGGTGGGTGGAAGATGGATGGATGGATGGGTGGAAGATGGATGGATGGGTGGGTGGAAGATGGATGGGTGGGTGGATGGAAAATGGATGGATGGATGAATGGGTGGAAGATGGATGGATGGGTAGAAGATGGGGGGATGGATGGATGGGTGGAAGATGGATGGATGGGTAGAAGATGGATGGATGGATGGATAGATGGATGGGTGGGAGATGGATGGATGGGTGGGTGGAAGATGGATGGGTGGGTGGATGGAAAATGGATGGATGGATGGATGGGTAGAAGATGGATGGATGGATGGATGGATGGATGGGTGGAAGATGGGTAGATGGATGGATGGGTGGAAGATGGATGGATGGATGGATGGATGGATGGAAGATGGATGGATGGAAGGAAGATGGATGTGTAGAAGATGGATTGATGGATGGAAGATGGATGGGTGGAAGGATGGATGCATGGATGGAAGATGGATGGATGGAAGGAAGATGGATGTGTAGAAGATGGATGGATGGAAGGAAGATGGATGCATGGATGCATGGAAGATGTATGCATGGATGCATGTATGGATGGAGATGTATAGGCAAATACAAAAAATAAGTGTTAAAATGAAAATTAAATGATGCTAGTCATCTTTTCTTTTAATCATGAAACAATATATATCAAAGAAAGCTTTCCCCGTGCATTAATTTAGACAGGCACCTTTGTTTTTAATAACTGTGCAGCGTTTCATGCGGGATAAGCCATCATCCATAAGCCCAGTCCTCTGTTGATGAGCGTCTACATTGTGCCAAGTGTTCCTCTCTCACAGCAGTGCAGGGAGCACCCTGCCCGTGGGCATTCGCCGGGGGACCCTCTCGTTCCTTTGCTACAATGTTGTAGCAGGGACTTGGCAGTGCTCCGGGACTGGTTTTCTATACACAGGCTGGAACTCACTGATTTCTTTCTTTATCGTTCCCTTTAATCCTTGCCTACGTGACAAGTAGAAAACGTTAAATTGTGTTTTTTTAAAGATATTTTTTATTGATTTCAGAGAGGATGGGAAAGGAAGAGATAGAAAAATCAAAGATGAGAGAATCATTGATCGGCGGCCTCCTGCACACCCCCTATTTGGGATGGAGTCCGCAACCCGGGGACGTGCCCTGACCAGGAATTGAACCACGACCTCCTGGTTCATAGGTCAAACTTATTTTAATTAGACTATTAAAATTACCAATGAGTTTGAGCCATTTTTCATATATTTGTTGGATTTTTTTTAGTCCTTTTTATGTGAATTACCTGTTTATAACCTTAGTCTATTGCTCTATTGAGTATATTTATCTTATTGATTTGTAAAAGCTACTCATATATTATGGAAACTAACCTGTATTTCTCATGTATATTAGCAATAGTTTTTCCCACTCATTTTCGTTCATTGTTATGTGTGTGTGTGTGTTGTTTTTTCCAAATAAAAATAAATATATTGTTGGACCTAGTCATTATTTAAGTGATTTCTGGCTTGAAAGTGTTCCTTAGAAAGGACTTCTCACACAAATGCTATGTGTTATGTGATATTCATCTTCATTTTCTTCTATTACAGTTTTTTTATTCTACTCACTGTGCACTTGGCTCTATCTAAGGTTTATCTGAGGATAAGATAGCAAAGAGATTAATTTTTTAAAATGTTCATCCAGTTACTTTAATACCATTTATTACATAGTTCATCATGGTTTGGTGTATTCGAGCCTCAATTTCTACCAGTCAGGTTATGATGAAAAGGAAACATTTAATATTTAAACGTGCCTCTGACAATATTAATAACCTAAAGCTCTTCCATTTTAATAGGGGCCTCAGGGGAGAATCAACAAGCAAAGACTGCCATGCGGGACTCCGTCCTCCGCTGTTCCGACGCTCCCGAAAGCCACTGGGAAGACCGCTCCTTGGATGAAATCGGCAGGGCCTTTTGCCAGCAGGTGAGGGTGTTTTCCCAGTGCCAGGTTCTCCAAGTGGGCAGAGGGGCCGCGTGGAATACCGTTAGGTCAGACGTCGTCAGACATCCGTTCTAACGTTAGTTTTGCTCCTGTCTCCACCCCCCCAAACGCTACTTCCCCACCTCCTACTAACACTAACACCTTGATGACAGTATGATGCTGAGACCTGGGTTAAGTGACTGCTTTGTGTTACTCACACACTGAATCTCCTAAGAAATATTTAGGACATATAAAAACAGGATGCAGCTGCCCTGGCCCGGTGGCTCAGCTGGTGGGAGTGTTGTCCTGTGCACCACAAGGGCGCGGGTTCAACCCCCGGTCCAGAGGCAGCCGACCCACGTGTCTCTCTCTCTCTCTCTTTCTCTCTCTCTCTCTCTCAATAAAAACATATCCTCAGGTGAGGATGAAAACAACATGACACAGCTTTATTGAATAAAATACAGGAAACTTGCATCAGTAAAGAGGTCTTTCCTAGCTCTTGGATTGGAAGATTCGCTATTAATGCCTGCTCGCGCGATTAGGACCTTTTCTTTTGGAAAGTTATAATGGAGGACGGCTCCGCCCACAGATGGAAAGTTTATGCAGGTAGAATGATGCAGACGGTATGTCACAGGGCCCGTAGTGGACGTTCAAGGTGATTTGAAACAGTAGTTGGATAATAGCGCAATTTTTACGTGTGAATTCAGCTTATGATTTGAGGTGTGGAGGGACGGGAAGTGGAATGTTCACTAATGATTGTTGGGATAATTCTAGCCATTTGGGGGCGGGGAGCTGTAAACTTCCCCTCTTCACACCAAATGCATTCTATATGCGTCCACTATTTAAATTTAAAAGTAAATAATGTGGGTGAAAACATTTTAAGATTGACATTTAGACTTTTAAATGTGAAGTAACGCCCGAAAACCATAAAGAAAAAGATTCATAAATTAGACTGCATTGAAACGGAAAGGCTCTCTACAGCAAAACTTCATATAAACAAATGATAAGCTTGGCGAAAAGTGTGCCCTGTAAACAGGAGAAAAGCAGTAACTGCTCTAACATAGGTAGCACTCTTACAAATTCTTGATATAAAATTGTCAGCAGGAAATTGTCAGTGAGGAAAAAATTAAGAAAAGCCAGTGGTGATGAGGGTACCAGACAAGTGAGCACCGAATAGACTCTTGGTCAGTTGGTGAAACTTGTTGTTAATGAATTTATTGGTTTCATCAAAACATGGGTATTACAAATCATAAATGCGGGCAATTCTGAAAACCGTAAAGGAGAAAGTAATACACTATTCAGAGTCTCCCATCCAGCAGTGATCAAAGGCAACATTTGGGAACATAATTCCAGGCCTGTCAGGATTCACAAGCGTAGAAGGATGGCTGCGTGGTGGGTGGGTGGGCGAGTATATCCAGAGAAACAGTTTTCTAAGGAGAGAACCAGGCCCATTTGATGTAAATTCCTCTGGGCTGCCTACCTGCCAGGCACCTCACAGGAGCCCTCCCATTCAGCCTTCCCAGCCACTCCGTGCGGTAGGCACTCTTATCATCCCTTTCAAGTTGGGGAAACTGAGGCACAAAGCGGTTTAATGACTTGCCCCAGGTTACACTGCCAGTAAGTTCTGGAGCCACGTTTAAGCCCCTGGTCCTTTCCCAGCGTGGCTCAGTGGTTGAGTGTCCACCTATGAACCAGGAGGCCACGGTCCGATCCCAGTCAGGGCACAGGCCCAGGTTGCGGGCTCGGTTCCCGGTGTGGGGCGTGCAGGAGGCAGCCAATCAATGATTCTCTCTCATTATTGATGTTTCTCTCTCTCTCCCTCTCCCTTCCTCTCTGAAATCAATACAAATAATAAATCAATAAATAAACACCCCCCAGTCCTTGCTCACAGTGCTGTCCTCACGTGAAGCCAGACATTCTGAACTGTGGATAGATGTCAGCACGCAGGAGTCGTGAGGTCCCGGAGGGGCTTCGAGGCGAGAAAAGAGCTGAAGACAGTCATTAGGAGCTAAGCGATCGTGGTGTTTGAAGTTGTCTCACTGCAGACGGGAGGGCTGCTCTCTGCTTGGACACCCAGCGTGACCGTGACCGTGACCGGCACTTCCCGGGTCTCCCCGGCCTCCCACCCTCCCTCCCGCCTCGCGGTTTTCGTGGTTTACGTTTTGTTCTTAGAGTCCCTGGTGTTGGTTGACACTCTGTCCTGTCACCATAGCTCCCTGGGGCTCTGCCCCTGTTTTACTTGCACATGGACTTAGGGCCACGCTTGCTGGTGGGCGCCTTTCAGAGTTCTTCATCCTGACCTGTCAGTCGGCTGACCTCACTGTCAAGTACTTCCCTCAGGAATGGCTTGTGGGGCTTCCCCTTCGTTGTCTCATGTCGGAGCCCGTCTCCTGTTGCTTTTCCCGGGAACAACACCGGCACTCTCTCTGTTTCTCATGGCGTGTTTCCATCGTCTGCTGGCACTGGGCATCTGGAGAAGCCGCCGAGGTCACCTGGTCCCCCTGTAGGTGGCTTTCCCCCCCCCCGGATGCCTGAAGTACTGTTTCTGGATCCTTGAAATTAAAAAGCAAACGAAGCGGTCCTGGCGGGGGGCACGTCCAGCTTCCTGGGGCACAGAGTTCTCGTGTGCAGACTTGTTCTTTCATTTCAGGGACGTCTCCCCGTGTCCATCACTAGATTCTCCCCCACCCCAGCTCTCCCCCCCCCCCCCCCACCACCGGGCCTGTCCTGACAGCCGCCCCTCCCCACCTGCTTTAGTCAGTGTGGTTTTGCTGGGCTTCGCCGAGTTCTCTCCAGCCACCCCTCCTCTGTGGGCTCGGATCCCAGCCTCGGCGCGTGTTCTTGCTGATTCTAATTGGTTTATTAGTTTGTATTGCTGTTAATTTTGTTTTCTATTCCCTTAGTTTTGAAATATCCCTTCTCATCTCTTTTTATTGTTTTATCAACGTCTTCAAGCTTCTCTTTCAACGAATTCATATTTTTATTTAGTTTCTTTTTATGGCACCAAACCTTTGCAGGTGATGTGTTTGTATTTTTTCGTATTATGTTTCTTTAAAAAAAAATTATTTTTTTTCTGTGAGGTTCCTTTGGAAAGCTTAGTGTTTCCTTTTCTTTTTATTTATTTCTTATTTTTTAAAATACATTTTTATTGATTTCAGAGAGGAAGGGAGCTGGAGAGAGAGATAGAAACATCAATGATGAGAGAGAGAATCATGGATGAGCTGCCTCCTGCACACCCCACACTGGGGATGGAGCCCGCAGACCGGGCCTGTGCCCTGAGTGGGAATTGAACCGTGACCTCCTGGTTCATAGGTTGGTGCTCAACCAATGAGCTGTGCCGGCCGGGCTTATATGACGTTTCCATGCCGTCTGCGTTCTTGGGCTTCCGCTGGACACTTGTTTGTGCGCAGAGCTGCGAGACTATCGCCGTCCATCCTGGCGGCGCTTAGGCCAGAGTCCTCTTATTGCGGAGGGCGCCCCACTGTCATCTGCACGCCGTGCAGTTTCCCGTTATCCAAACCCGCACAGCGCACGCTCCCCTGGGCACCGACACCTGGAGCCCGTCTGTGCTGATCCATTCGCTGCTGCCCCACGTGGCCGGGCACAGTCGGTGCCCTGCGGAAGGCTCTCTGGGAATCCCGCCGGAGTGCAGGCGCTGGCGAGGGTATGGGGCGCTCACCGCTCAGCTCCGTGGAGGCGCCAGCCTGTTTCCAGGTTCAGCCCACGGGCTCACCAGCATTCATGTGAGAGTTCCCATTTTCACCGTCTGAGGCAGACGAGGTGGCATCTCAGCCACGCTTTCCAGTTTCACTTTTTAAAAAACCTGATGTGTCAAATGGTTTCTGTGCAACATTTATTTGGAACATTTTTGGTTAAAAAATCCATTTTTAACAAATATTTAATGAGTTTGCCTACTTCCTGCAAATTGAGCCTCATTCTGGGTAATTATTAGTGAACAAAACAGACATAGTCTCTGCTTTCGGGAGGGCGGCATGATGGTGCTCCAGGGAGAGAGGTGTCAAATCCAGACACACACACACACACACACACACACACACACACACTCACACTCACACTCACACATTTACACACTCACGTACACTCTCACATTCACAGTCACACACGTTCACACATTTACACACACACACACTCACACTCACACTCACACTCACACACTCATAAATACAGTTGTTCCTGAGGGAGTGACAGCAAAGGAGAGGTGCTACGAGAGACTTACAAGGGGGCTGGATCTAGATCGGGGGCCAGGAAACATTTACACAAAGTAAACGTGTAAACAGAAATGGGCGCAGCTTTCGGGTGTCCCCATGTGTCACGTGAGTGTGATGCCGACACGTGCCAGTCTCGGGAAACAGCTGGCGGCGGGCTGTCAGCGGAAGCACTGCCCGTGGTGCCGGCGGACATGGCCGCGCTGCGCGGAAGGGCTGCCCGTGCTCCCGCGGTGCTGGCGGCGCTGGGGACCCTGTAACGACTGGGCGGTGAGACGCCCGCGATCCGCGTATCCTTCCTCGTGCTTTGCTGACTTGCTTGCTTTTTCATCTTTTGCTTCTGTATTAACAGTGACGGTGAAAATTCCTGAAAGGTTAGGCATGTCCCAGAGATCCCCTTTCTGTGTCACTCCCTCTCTTTCTCTAAAAACGCCGATGTCAGAACCGCTCCGGACACAAACCTCATCGGAGACCAAACGTCCGGAAGATGCTGACGGCGGGTTCATGGGTGCACCCAGCTCTGCTCTCTCCTGAGGGCCCCCGGGCACCCACCTCCCTGAAAGAGAGACACGCAAACTTAGCCACATTTTTGGTGCAATTTACACAACTTTCTAAAAAGCTTAGGCTCTGTGATTCTCCAAATATTTTCAAAGCTTTCCCCTAGTTGTCCAATACTCCTGGGCGCTCTGCGGAAGTTTGAATGCTTCTCATGTTGTGGACAGAGACTCTTGTTCATATATTTCCATGTCCCGGCAGCTTTTCTAAAAAGTCACCTTTCATGCCTAGTTGGTGGCAGGCTTGTTTACCTTCTTACCCAGTTAGTGAGCCGGAAACCTGGAGGGGGACAGGGCGGGGGTGGCAGCCCTGGAGAACTCTTCATCCCTCAGCAACAAACAGCAGGAATACAGTCCTCGTAGCATTTTCTGAGTCACAGAATGAATCCGGTTCACCTCTCACCGCCTTTGCAAAGTCCCGTGAACAAAGCTCGGTCACCGGCTCCTTGTAATTCTCCATTAAAGAATGAAGAAATGTCCAGTGTGAGCTGTTTGAGCCCTTAGCACTGCCGCTCACTCTAAACCCACTTGCGTTTTTAATGAGAGGCGCCGCTTTCCCCGTGATGGACCGCCGGGAGGAGCGGAGGGCGGGCGCAGCGGGAAGGGTAGGGAGCGAGGGGCATGGCCCGCCTGCCCTCAGCCTGCGTGTGAGGGCGCGGGTCCTGGGAGCCTGCCTGCCCGCAGCGAGCAGCCGGGGCCGGGCCCTGTCCTGCAGGAGCTCGGCATTAGCCTGTGAGCTTCAGCGCCTGCCGTCGCACTCTCTGATCAGTGTTCGGAGAGGAAAGTGGGGAGCGGTTTCGGTAAAAAGGAGGTGGAGCCGCTCTGGGCAGCTGGTGCCTGTGACTGCCACGCTCTCATTTAATCCCTCGCAGCTGTCCAAGTGCCGCGAGAAGGTGGAGAAGGCCCTGAGCGCCGGGGACCCCTCCAAGTGCGGGTACATCTCCCTCAACTACCTCAAGATCGTCCTGGACTCCTTCGTGTTCCAGCTGCCGCGGAGGGTCTTCATCCCGCTGATGAAACGGTAAGAGTCCCGCTGCTCCCTGGACATCTTTTCCCTCCACGTCGGCCACGGGGGAAGGAACGCCGCCTTTATTTCTATTAAATGCTTCGGGCTTTTCGCTGCTGAAAAGCTTGAACGCGGAAGCAAAGAGACTGAGGACCAATGCGCGCAGGTCCCCACGCCCTCGGCCCCAGGCGTTTTTGAAACAGGCACCAGACGTCACGTTTCACGGCTAGATCTCCAGGCGGTAAGAGCTCTTTAGGAACCTGTGGAAACCGTTTCCACACCTCGGAGAGTTACCGATGCCGATGATGTCCACTCAGGGTTCAGACGGGACCGGTTGTCTCCCGTTTTCTTTCATGACGTGTATTTGAGTCCGGATCCAAATCAGGCCGCACACCAGCGGGTGGGTTTGCCACATTCTCTGCGATCGCAGGCCCCTCTCCATCTCCTCATCATCCCCGTGAGGCGCGTGTAGGAGTCGCGTTGTTACGAGGAGTTTCTTAGGACACAGATCTGACGGTGGTGCCCACAGTGGCAGTCAGGATGCCCTCCCGCCTCCCTCCCCCAGCCCGCCTGGAACGGGTAGGTCTGTAGACCCACATAAGGGACTGCTGGTCTCCTCCGGCGATGTGCGCAGCACGTTGGCCGGACTCGTGTGCACTTGGTCCGGAGTCCGCCGAGCGGTGATGCTCCCGGGGGTCATCCCTGCTCTTACTGGTGCGGCTGCTTCTGCGGTGAAAGCGGCCCCTCCCCAGTGACTTGGCGACAGTGAGGCCCCACCAACCTAAGACAGGCAGGAGACCCTGGGCTTCCTAGCACCTTCCTAGAGCAATGAGCCGCCTGTCTTGAGAAACAGTACCAACCCATTTTGATTTGTTGCGGTTGTCATTCTCATTGATACTCAGTCTGTTCCATGTGGTCGGGGGGCCGGGGAGGAGGGAGCCTTTTGCGTCTGCCCCGAGGCCGCTGCTGCCACCCTCAGAGTCTGTGTCACTCTCTTGCTTTCCGGCTGACACATGCTCCCGCTCCTCGGGTCATCTTTTGGCCCCGACCTGGAATCAGCCATTTCTCCAGGATCCGTTTCCTTCCCGCTGGGAGTGGTGCGTGGAGACTGAACTCTGGGTGAGGAGCTCAGAGAACCTTTCGCAGGGGAGGTCGGGTGGAGGCTAATGGGCAGACTGTCTTCCGGAGCTCTGGTCGCTGCTGGCCTCGGGTGACCTCGAAAGGAAAGGAGGAGGAAGAAGGGGTGCTAAGCTAGACCAGCGGGTCATTTCCCACTGCACCCCCTTTCCTTCTCCGCGCCCTGCGTCTGCAGAGTCGCCACGTACGGCCGCCTGCCTCCCACAGCGACGGGCGCAGTGTGTCCCGGGAGCGAGTGTGCCCGTGGGCCAGCAAGCAGCTGTGGCCCCGTGCGCGGTGACATTCTGCAGGATTGCCTTCTCGGATAACTGAAAGTTAGACAGACATTTCTTTCTAGCTCATTTTCAAAATGATACAGGTAGTAATTTAATAGCAGCAAGAAAAATCAAAACCAGGAAGCCACCACCCACCTCACGTAGCAAATTTACCGTTTTCATTTCCCACACTCTCTTCTGCTTTGTGCCCACGTACATCTATAACTTTTACATATTTGTAATCCGCGTGTGTCTCCAGTTTTATATTGTGCTTTTTAAAATAGGAATGCATATTACACACATTCTTCATACTGCCGTTGTCTTCCGAGTTGTAAGTGTCATGGATACATGTTGAGTGCTTCTCTCTGCAGACATTGGGGGGGAGGGGGTGCTAAGAAGGCGGAAATCAGTGTGGCCGACCAGGGTGGTGGTGGCGGTGAGGATGGTGACAGGTGCAGGGAGTGAGCGTAGTAGGAGGCCACTGCAGCCAGCACCGTGCTTCCGGGATAGCCTGTTCCAGCCAGCAACACGGGGTTTCCTGAGTCGTGCCCTTTCCCGCATTCACCCAGAGGTCCCGGTGGAACAGGGCACGTGTGACAATGGCAAGGTGAATGCCCAGAGGCTTAATACCATGAGTTGTAAATTAGGTGTGTCCCCTGGTGCATGTATGTGGAAGTAAAGACTTGTCATATCTTCCTGCTCAATGATCCCTTTAGAAGTATATAGATACCTTTTAATCACTCTGACTTTTATAATCTACCTTATCTGATTTAAAAAGAATATATTCTTACTAGAGGCCCAGTGCACAAAATTTGTGCACTTGGAAGGTTCCCTCAGCCTGGCCTGTGCCCTCTCGCAGTCTGGAAGCTCCTGGGGGATGTCTGACTGCTGGGCAATAAGGCACCATCCTTATTGCTGCCTCGGAGGTGGAAGAGGCCGCCGCCACTGCTGCTGCACTCACCAGCTGTGAGCCCGGCTCCCTGTGGGAGCGCACTGACCACCAAGAGGCAGCTCCTGCGTTGAGCATCTGCCCCCTGGTGGTCAGTGCATGTCATAGCAGCTGGTCGTTCTGCCGTTTGGTCAATTTGCATATTAGCCTTTCATTATATAGGATTGATTTTAGGGAGAGAAAGGGAGAGAGAAAAAAACATGGATGAGTGCCAGGGTCCAACCCCAGCAGGTCCAGGGGTCCCCAAAGGTGAGGACGGAGTCGGCGAAGAAGGAATGACACGAAGACAGTGTTCAGTTGATCAGCAGCCTAGCCAGGATCTCTAGCCAGGATCTCCAGCCAAGTTCTGGTCTGGATCTCCAGCGAAGTTCTGGTTAGGATCTCCAGCCAGGTTCTGTATCCATGTTCTCTTGCTAGGTTCTCCAGGTTCTCCAGCCAGGTTCTGTAGCCATGTTCCCTCGCTAGGTTCTCCAGCCAGGTTCTGTCCAGGTTCTCCAGCCAGGTTCAGTCACCAGGTTCTAGTCAGGTTCTCTTGCCAATTTCTGTAGTCAGGTTCAGTCCAGGATCTTTTGTCATGTTCTCTTGCTAGGTTCTGTCTCTAGGTTCTGAGTAGGTTCTGGTCTAGGTTCTGTGTGTAGGTTCTGTGTGTAGGTTCTGTGTGTAGGTTCTGTGTAGGTTCTGTCTTCTTAGTTCTGTCTTCTAGTTCTGTCTTCTAAGTTCTGTCTTCTAAGTTCTGTCTTCTAAGTTCTGTGTCTTGCTGTCTTGTTACATCTGTATTTATACCAGTTGATTCAATCCTATCAATCTCTATTACAAAGGTTAGGGCGTTTCTTATCTCCATTCCAGGGAGTAAAGATTATGTAGCTTAAGCATGATTGTTCATAGTTAAAGTGATTAATTACCCGCCTGGCACTTAGTTGAGGGGTTTTATTCCCTCCCTAACTTCAGGGGAAAATCCCTACCTGGGGAAACAACCTTTCTCAGAGAGGTGACCTTGGTTAAAACACATAGTGCCAAGAAGGTGAGCAAACATATTAAGAACAGTATGCCATATATGCCAGGTCCCTTGAAACAGCAAGCATGGACCGGCTCCCGGAAGATGAGAGAGAGCAACATCCATCAGTTGCCTCCCATACACACCCTGACTTGGGATCCAACCCGCAACCTGGGTATGGGCCCTGACCAGGAATCAAATTGGCAACCTTTTGGTGCCACTCTGGCCGGGCACCCTTAGCTGATATTAAAATATGCATAACAGTTTTCTTTAGATTTCTACTTGTCAGGTATATCTTTCCCCGAACTTTTACTTTCGCTCTTTGGTTGTCATATTCTGTATCTGCTTTTTCAAAATTCCGAAATGAACATCTTTGCCTTTTCAATGGTAAATTTTAGTCTGTTTCCATTTATTGTGATGGCTGTTTTGGATTTTTCCTACTACTTTATTTTGTACTGTCTTATTTACTCAGCTGGTCTTTTATCTCCTTCTCAATCATGTTTGGTTCTGAGTTTTCCTTATCACTGTTTTCTCTCCACTATCTAGAGCAGGGGTCCTCAAACTACGGCCCACGGGCCACATGCAAATACAAATATTGTATTTGTTCCCGTTTTGTTTTTTTACTTCAAAATAAGATATGTGCAGTGTGCATTGGAATTTGTTCATAGGTTTGTTTGTTTTTTAAACTATAGTCCGGCCCTCCAACGGTCTGAGGGACAGTGAACTGGCCCCCTGTTTAAAAAGTTTGAGGACCCCTGATCTAGAGACTTAAATATTTTCTTTCTATTCTTGTGGAGATTACCCTTAAATTTGTAAAATGTGCTCTAAACTTATAAAGCCCAATGCTAACCCATATTTCTGCTGTTGTGAATGAAACATGCACCTTTAACTTCCACATTACTGTCACCTGGTGCTTTGATCCCTCCTTGTTTTGACAGCACCAGAATTAGTTATTATTATTATTTTTTTTTTAAATGTATTTCTTTATTGATTTCAGAGAGGAAGGGAGGAGAGATAGAAACATCAATGATGAGAGAGAATCATTGATTGGCTGCCTCCTGCATGCCCCCCACTGGGGATCAAACCTGCAACCCAGGCATGTGCCCTTGGCCGGAATCGAACCTGGGACCCTTCAATCCACAGGCTGACGCTCTATCCACTGAGCCAAGCCGGGCAGGGCTATTATTATTATTATTATTATTATTATTATTATTTAACTAGAGGCTCAGCGCATGAAACCATGCACGAGTAGGGTCCCTAGGCCTACCCTGCAATCAGGGCCACCTTCCACCCGTTCGCCAGTCCCCGGTCCCGCTGCTGACACCCACCCCAGTTCCCCAGTTGCCATCTGGCAATCTATTGGAGCCTGCAGGCTGGGGGGAGGGACCAAGACGTCTGCCTTCTGCCCGCTCGCCAGTCCCCAGTCCTGCCCCACTGCCGCCACCCACCCCGGTTCCCTGTGGTTCCCCGTTGGCCATCCAGTGATAGGAACCTGTAGGCTGGGAGGAGGGACCGTGTGGTGGTCAATGCACCTCATACAAACGGGCTGATCAGTTGTTCTGGTCATTACGCCATTATGGTTGCTGGCCTTTTATTATATAGGATGTGGTCTATACTTGTCTGGATTTTCTCACGTTTACTAGCATGTTTGCTCATCACTGCTTCCTAAGTCTCACTCCTT